AGTAATAAGGCAGTCAATCATCAAGATTTGGCAGTTTACGCAACGAAATAGGGACTGTATTGGCTGTTAATCTGTTACGAAGTGTGCGACAATGATTGTTTGATGAAGAGAAAGGAACAAGTCATACAACGAAAGTCAGTAATTGCGTCTTGGAGACCCTAGTGACACCGGAAGGATAAATTAAGTACGACTGGCTCAGACCAGCCCCCTCCCGTTACTTTGTTCACCGGAGGACTGCATAACCTAATATGATAGACAGCTATCAGGTAGCGAAACAGAATTTTCCAATAAAGCCCACCGAATTAGAAAAATAGCATTATCTTCTCTCGTGTGAAATAGCCCTTGCATGTCTTCGCATTTTTTTCTTATATAAAATCTCGTTGGAAATTATAGAAAGTGCAAGAATTAAATAGCAAAATTAATACTATTTTTTTCTCTTCGACAAACGAAGAAAACCAATTCAGATTATATCAGCAGGAACCAGTTGTAACACTCGTACCAGAGCAGCGCTTAGTTCAGCAGCAAGGAGCAGCAGAGACCAGTATAGTACGGATTTCCAAAGTTCGACCTACAGTATTTTGCCAACAGTATTATAACGACTATGGTAAGTTGGGGTTATTCCTTCCGTCATCTGCTAAGAATGCATTTGTTCTGTAACTGCGATTACATCCCCGGTGGCGACTGCACTTACGGTAGGAGTTATCGCCTCCCAAACACTGGTATCTGCGGTCTTCCTCCGGTAGGTTGATGATTTCCTAAGCCCAGTTTATTGGCAGACCTTCGCAATCGCAGTTGGTTGATGACATGGACCACTCTGTTGCCTCCCGCAACAATAGCAGTGGCAGCTTGCGGAGCGCGGACACGTCGTCCATCGTAAGCATCCCACTGCTGCCAAGCGAGTGAGGACGATCAAGCCCGTCAATATGGGAGGCTTTCTTGGTAGAGACTATTATAGCAGGTAAGACACATACACCCTCCTTTCTTATGACTCTGAAGGCTGTATCTGCTAATTAACGTGTCAAAGCGAGTCGCATAAAAAGGCGCCACTTTTAAACTTCAGTCTAAATTCAACCCTACACGTTAGCCTTACCGTAACCCTCACTTGA